GAGGCTATACTGAGACGTTTAGAAGTAGCAGGAGTATTGACATTGACAGGGATGTTGAAGTCACTGAGAATGATTGTGGGGTTTTCAGAATAGAGAAAGTAGTGTAGCCAGGCAGAGAAGTCATCGAGGAATGTTGATGCCGATCCAGGTGGGCGGTTGATCACAGCAATTCTTAGAGAAATGTGAGAAAATAGATGAATACAATGTTCCTCAAAAGAGGAAAGTGTCAGAGAGGGAGGTGGGTGAAGTACCTGATAGGTGCTGTGTGAGGCTAGGAGGATTCCTACACCACCTCTACTGGGTCTGTGGGAGTGAGTCTGGAGAATGCCACCATGGGAAAGGGAAGCAGGGGAAGCAGTGTCGGAGTCATGAAGTCAGGTTTCGGTAATGGTAGGTAGGTTAAAGGAATTTGTGATAAACAGGTCATGGAGGTAGGCGGGTTTGTTACTGATAGAGCGAGCATTCCAGAGAGCTCAGGAAAAGGGGAGGCTGGTTTTGGGAAGAAGAGGAATGGAAACTAAGTTCCGTGGATTGTGGCTGCTGCCAGAGGGAGTGGGGTGATGTGAGCATTGGGCACAGTTAAATGGTGGAGGCCTGGGGTTTGGGGATATGTCTCTAGAGGTTAGGAAAAGCAAAAGGGTGAGGGAGGTAATGAGGGAGTGTGATTTATATGAGGAGACATGCCTCAGTGCCATGGAGGTTTTATTAGCATGTGGATTTAGAATTAGCAGGAGATGGTGATTGCAGTAATAGCAGAGGACAGAAGGGAGGGTGATATATTTAAGCTATGGGATGGAGAAGAGGGGTGAAGGAAAGAGAGTTTAAGGTGAAAGGATACAACTGTCAGAAGGAGTGGTAGAAGGCGCTTTCTTGAAAGTGGAAGGAGAGCTGAATAGGGAGAGGGTCACCTGCAGCCTGTGTAGTGCTTTTCAATGCAGTTTGCTATGTATGTTCGCTTTGTGCAATTGTTAAAGTGCATATCAAAGCTCCAAGGAGCAGGGCCCTCAAATCCCTCTTGTATCGAACTATATTGTTGCTGTACTGTCTCCCGTTATATTGTAAAGTGCTGAGCAAACTGTTGGCGCTATATAAATCCAGTATAATAATAATATCATTTTTATAAAGAATCACTTCTGGAAAAAATCACTAAAGGAAGGAACCCCAGCAATGTTCCCCCAATAAAGTGCTTTCCCCATAAAGGTGCTCTAGTTTTATACTGTTAAGGGTGGGGGTGGTTGGTTGTTAATTAATCATGAGCTAATGTAAGGGCAGCACAGTGGCTGAATGGTTAGCACTCCTGCCTGGCAGTACTAGGTTCGTTGGTTTGAATCCCAACCACGGCACCACCTGCCTGGAGTTTGCATGTTCTCCCTGTGTGTGCATGGATTTCCTTCGGGTACTCTGGTTTCCTCCCACACTCCAAAAAACATGCTGGTAAGTTAATTGGATCCTGTCTAAATTGTCCCTAGTATGTGTATGTATGAATGTGAGTTAGGGAGCCTAGATTGTACGCCCCTTGAGGGTTAGGGACTGATGTGAATGTACAATATATATGTAAAGCGCTGCGTACATTGACAGCTCTATATAAGTACCTGTAATAAATAAATAAGGATGGTTGGCTATCAAAGCAAGATTTTCACATCAGGCTTGCAAGAGGGCAGAGTTGTAAAGATAAGATCAGCTATAACTTATGCAGGCCATAGACGGGGAGAAAACCGGCTGTTTTTTTTTTTTTTTTTTTTTAAACAAAAAATCGGTCGTTCAATCGGCCGACGTTACCACCATTGGAAAAAAAAATCGGCTGATTTTCGTCCCGTCTACGGCCGGCAAATATAAAAGCGGTGTCCCTGCAAAGAGCTCCGCTATTATATTTGACATTTAAAAGTATAGCAAAGTTGCAACATTGTATCTATTTGTATCCATTTCGGATACAGATGTTTCTATTCGGATACAAATAGATACAATGTTGCAACTTTGCTATACTTTTAAATGTCAAACATAATAGCGGAGCTCTCTGCAGGGACACCGCTATTGGATTTGACATTTAAAAGTATTGCGGTTGCAACATTGTATCTATTTGTATCCGAAAAGAAACATCTACAGTTGCAAGAAAAAGTATGTGAACCCCTTGGGATTACGTGGAGTTTTGCATGAATTGGGCATAAAATGTGCTCTGAACATCATCTAAATCACAACAATAGAAGAACACAGTCTGCTGAACATAATACTACACAAACATTAGATGTTGCCATGGTTTAATTGCACATAACATGTAAACATTCACAGTGCAGGGAGGAAAAAGTATGTGAGGCCCTAGCTTAATGACTTCTCCCAGAGCTAATTGGAGCCAGGAGTGAGCCAACCTTGACTCCAATCAGTGTGATGATATTGGATGTGTTGCTGACAGCTGTCCTGCCCTTAAAAAACACACACCTGTTTTGGGTTTACTGGTTTCAAGAAGCACTGTCTGATGTGAACCATGCCTCGCAGAAAAGAGCTCTCAGAAGACCTACGATAAAGAACTGTTGACTTGCATGAAGCTGGAAAGGGTTACAAAAGTATCTCCAAAAGCCTTGATGTTCATGTGTCCACGCTAAGACAGACTGTCTACAAATGGAGAAAGTTTAGCACTGTTGCTACTCTCCCTAGGCGTGGTCGTCCTTTAAAAATGAATGCAAAAGCACAGTGCAGAATGCTGCATAAGGTAAAGAAGAATCCCAGAGTGTCAGCTAAAGACCTACAGAAATCTCTGGCACATGCTAACATTTTTGTTGACAAATCTACAATAAGAAAAACATTAAACAAGAATGGAGTACATGGGAGGACACCACGGAGGAAGCCATTGCTGTCCAAAAAGAATATTGCAGAACGTTTGAAGTTTGCAAAAGAGCACCTGGATGTTTCACAGCACTACTGGCAAAATATACTGTGGACAGATGAAACCAAGACTGAGTTGTTTGGGAAGAACACACAACACTATGTGTGGAGAAAAAAAGGCACAGCACACCAACATCAAAACCTCATCCTCACTGTAAATTATGGCGGAGGGAGCATCATGGTTTGGGGCTGCTTTGCTGCCTCAGGGCCTGGACGGATTGTTGTCATTGATGGGAAAATGAATTCCAGAGTTTATCAAGACATTTTGCAGGAAAACGTACGACCATCTGTCCGCCAACTGAAGCTCCGCAGAGGATGGGTGATGCAACAGGACAATGACCCAAAGCATACAAGTAATTCAACAAAACAATGGCTGCAACAGCACAGAATACGCCTTCTGGAGTGGCCCAGTCAGAGTCCTGACCTCAACCCGATTAAAATGCTGTGGCATGACCTTAAGAGAGCGATTCACACCAGACATCCCAAGAATATTGCTACACTGAAACAGTTTTGTGAAGAGGAGTGGTCCAAAATTACTCCAGATCATTGTGCAGGTCTGATCTGCAACTACAGGAAATGTTTGGTTGAGGTTATTGCTGCCAAAGGAGGGTCAACCAGTTATTAAGTCCAAAGGTTCACATACTTTATCCTCCCTGCACTGTGAGTGTTTACATGTTATGTGCAAATAAACCATGACAACATCTAATGTTTGTGTAGTATTATGTTCAGCAGACTGTGTTCTTCTATTGTTGTGACTTAAATGACGTTCAGAACACATTTTATGCCCAATTCATGCAAAACTCCACGTAATCCCAAGGGGTTCACATACTTTTTCTTGCAACTGTATATCCGAAATGGATACAAATAGATACAGATGTTCTTCTTTTTCTTTGGTCACGGCTCATGCGCATTTTTTTAATCGGTAAAAAGATCGGCCGATTTGCCCATCATTGCCGTGAAAATTGGCTGATGGACACAATCGGCCATTTTTTTTTCCAATATGATCGATTAAAAAAAAGTGTCAAAATCATGAAATACGGCCGACCTATTCACCCACTAACGATCCGAAAATCAGCCGATTATTCTTTCGGACGAATTTTCAGCCGATTTTCGACCCATGTATGGCCTGCATTAGGGTTAGACACTTACAGAGCAACACAAACATCATAGTGGTGCAGACAGGGCAACAGATGGTGAAGATAGCACATAGCAAAAATGCACAAAGACATAGTGAAAGTAAACAGTTCTCAGTTTTGCGTGGATATAGACAACAACGTACATGTGTAGGGACAGAAAATATATGTTCAGATGAGACATTCAGGTGGAACAGAGCAGTGCATATCACTTGTATAGAGAATCACTTCTAGAAAGAATCACTAAAGGAAAGAACCCCAGCAATGTTCCCCCCAGCAAAGTGCGCCCAGCAAAGTAGCACTGCTGTGCTAACAGCTGATTATAAGTAGTGATCAGACTGTCTGGAAGAGATGCATTTGTGAAGCATGTAAATGTAGGTCAAATTTGGGTGCATTCAAACTTGCACCCTGCCTGCGATTACTTCTGAGAACCCCAGCGGGGGTTCATTTTACCCATTTGCATATAATCGCTCATGCAGCAACCACATGCAAGTGATCAGCCCTGGATGTGAGAGGGCACTATTAGTTGCCAGAGCCAGTAGTCTCCCATTGATTTCAATGGGGCTCCCTACTAGCAGCTAATCGCAAGAATACCCACTGGGGTTTTTGCATGTAATCGCAGGCAGGGTGCATTCGCAACTGTGACTGCACCCTTTATCAAGAATAGTTCATGTTGTTGTTAACAAGTATTTTTCTTATATCAAACACAGCAACACAAAAGGCTTATTGTCACCACAGTATTTCCATATTTTCTGTTCTGCCCTTGGATAACTGTTGAAATAGCTGTTTTAGTAAGATACATTATTGTCCTGTTTTCAATTCAATTGTCTAACACTATTTGCGTTTCTGCACTTGGACCATTTCTGTATAATTCTGTAGGGTTCTCAATAAGACATGCTATGTTGATCAGATTTTTGATCAGATTTTTGGTGGCTATCTGTCATTTTACAGATGGGGTTGTGTGTAGAGTGCAGAACAATGGTCCCTATGAACACTCCCTCCTGTATTGTGTGTGAAGCGCCTTTGTTTGCACAAATGCAGCCACAAGCTAGTATCCATCTGAAGGTAAGTTAACCTCAAATGCCATGCATCTTTCTCTCTCACAGCTGATATAAATATGAATTATTATTGTATGTCCATAGCAACCACTTATAGACTATATAATTAAATACAATTGTGATTGGTTGCTATTGGGAATACCAGTTACCCTTTCCGCTGATATTCTTTACTCTGCATTTGTAGCCTTATCAATATATCTATGCAAACGTCAGTGTGAATAATTTCCAGTTGTATAGCCAACATTTCCTCTTGTACCTTGTATAATATATACACAGGGCTGTATTTAGTACAAGGCACTCGTTGGCCAGGCCTAGAGAAGGAGGACTGTAGGAGCAGCACTGAACATCAAACAGTGCTATCTTTTTTCTTATTTGTTTCCCTCTTCTCCAAGAGGAGTGTAGGGGAAAGTTACAGTTGAAAAAGTAGTTCTGCAAATAAAGCAGACTTCACATTGCTTCCATAAGCACATATATATAAAATATAGTCATGTACATGACACAAAGTTGGAGCAGTATGATATCTAAATACAGCCATATGTATATAAGATGTACAGGCTCCTCCTCAGGGAAATTAAAATATAAGAAGATTTAACTTCAGCTTTAAAGAAGAACTCCAGACAAAATTTGTATTCTCCCATGCAGTGGGGCTGTGCCCACACTGCATGGGTTAACTGCTTGCTTTTTTCTAGGGTGAAGAGAGCAGAGATATACTTACCTAATCCGCCGATCTTCCAGACGCAAGACCATTCCCCGCTGCTAACCCCCCCCCCCACGCTCTAGTGGTCTTGTGAATGGACTGTTCCTGACATCATCACACTCATAGACCAGCTGTGGTTGTGAGGACAGAGGGAACAGTCCAGCTCTCTATGTGGGATAGCGCTGTTTTCCAGAGGATGGAAAGATCGTGTAAGTAGCTTTTTCTTGTGCCCCTGGGAAAAAAGAGCAGGTAACCCATGAAGTGGGGGCATAGCCCCACTGCATGGGAAAATAAAATTTTGCCTGGAGTTCTTGTTTAAACTTTCAGAGAATGATGTGTGTGTACAACTCTCTCATTTCCATTGTAATTTTGCAGCAGATAAAAGAAGTATACAGGGAATAAATCATGTGAACTTCAAACTTTCACTTGTCCTAAAAACTACTATGAGTTTCAAAAAATGTTGTTGAAATGATACTAAAAGAGGAACTGATATTATTAGTTCTGTATTCTGATATATAATTGTGATTAATATGTGTTAATATAGTATTCAGTATATTCATTCCTTTTTTATTTCACATGCCTTTATTTATACAGTATTTTCTCCATTGTTTTATGCAGACCAAAGTGTCCCGCAAAAGTCACAAGGGGTTTGGATAAACTATACACTGGCAGGGCTGCTGGAACGCTTACAGCCATGATTATTTCTGTCTTTATTTTTTTTTAAATAAATCAAATCATTTGAATGAAAGGTGACTATTATAAGCTCCCTGTTAGTGTTAGAATTTATACAGACCCTTCTCACTGTCATGTGTAAAAGGATGTGAATTTAAAATATAATTCATATATTGAATACTACACATATTATATTTATTACCAGACAGTTATCAGGGTAGAGTATTTTTTTCAGTAATAATCCTTGAACTAAACCATCCAGCTTTCTTTATTCACTGTCCAAAATAATTATCATTACTTTTCTATGGAAAAAGTATATTAAATTACCATAATGTTTTGCAGGATAAAACCGTGTGTCGTTTCTGTGGAACTGGAAATCCTATAAATCTAAAGCACTGTGTGACTTGTGAGGCCAAACTTCCAGAAACTCAGACGGTACAGAGTGTTCTGTGTTCTTTGTATATGCATGCAATCAGAATGGCTGGTATGACAGTTCTAAAGTTAAAATTTAGTGAGGTGGTCCACAGGAGATAGTTATGAGTAGAAAGGAGTATTGTAATCATAGTGGGCAGTTTACCCTGTTTAGGTGAAATGAAATGTCTAACCTTTTCTCTATTGTCCATTGTCAATAAGTGGTTGTTAAAGTGTAACTACACTGCATCTCAGCACCATGAACCAAAAATGGTATTAAATTAATTTTTAAAATTCAGAGAAAACTCACCCATCTTTAGTAAGAGCAGATGGTTCATGGAGAATTTACTTCCTGGAATCAGTGCCGGGACAAGGTCATCCAGCGCCCAGGGCAAAGATGCCAAATGACAACCCCCCCCATTCATGATGTGCAAGCTTAGGGGATCCTATGCCCAGCAGTCACTCGCTTGTTAAAAATCTCTGTGCAGCTCAGTTTTAACATTGGGCACATGCTTGTGTTGATGGCTCTCTCCTCCACTTACGGTTCTCTCCTGGACACTTCTATGCCCAGTGTTGTGGGCTGTGCTCTCTCTCTTACTGATCCTTCCTGCTAGTGCAGCTGCTGTGCGTTTGTGAACACCGCTGCCTGCTTGTTAAATACAGGAGCACTGAACTGCCAGGAAGGAGGAAGGGTAGCAAGAACACAGCCCACACCGCATCCCGGCTCTCTCCTCCTCTCCTTGCTGCTCCCAGTGCTGGGCCGACAGAAGTAGTGATGCCGTTGTCACTACTCCAGTCAGCCTTGTAACATCCCTACAGTAAAACATTGCACCCAGGGCAGCCGCCCCTCCCGACCACCCCTTGTCCCTGCCCTGCCTGGAATTCATCTGCTCTTAGCTCAGGCATGCAAGCAGAAGGGTGTGCTTAGCTAAGAAAACCCTTCCTCCCCTCCTGAAGACTTCTGGGATATGTGACATCATTTGTCTAGGCCTGGAAACCAGGAAGTAACTGAAGATATGTTACAAAAATAGTTTAAAACAAGTAAATATGGTATAGTTTTCTGTCTATTTACTAATGCTAACAGCATAAGGATTACAATATTGTTTGAGAGAGTGAAGTTCTTTAACTTGACTATAATTCTATGAACAATTTTTATATATCTCTTTTAAGGATTTTCAGTTTTTTAAGCATTTCTGTTAGTACATTTTTTCTAATAAAAAAGTGCTTCCTTTTTATTATAGGCTAGTAAAAGTAAATGTAATTAATACATAAATCCATATATTAGTTAAAATATATTTTTGTATTATTTATTTATTATTATTACTGTACTTGTATCATACAAGTATGCATACAGTATTAAACCAAGGCATAATTAAGTGTACAGGATATAGAGGCCTCTGCAAGCTGACACCACTATTTTTTTTCAAAGAAGCCTTTAAAATGCATGTGATCCATGTTATTGGGGACATAGTGATTACATGATCAGGAATAACACTGATTGGTTCACGATTGTTAGTAGGGACAAATCTGTCAGTAAACCAGCCAATACGCAAAGCCAATATAAAACAGTTCCAGTATCCCAGCACTGAAAACTACTGAGACATTTCTGAGGTTAGAAGATACAACTTTGCCTCTAGTTGCATTACTCTGCACAGTGAGGCTTTTTACTGGTTCCTTCTATGTATAGTAGTGAGGTCCCTTGTTTAAATATCATGATGCAAGTCTTGTCAATGTTGATGTATAGAGAACAGTTATTTTAAGTCAAATTAAACATTATGCCAGTGCATATCCTACAAGTATTCTGTGACTTATGGCACATTTGTTGTCTTTGCTGGAAATGGATAGTATTAAATATCCCTAACTAGCGAATGTTGTTTCCATTTGAACCCTGTTGAACACTGTCATTGAAGCTCGTTAGAGTAGTTGGCACCAGTTCATGGCTATTAGGTCCTTTCAAGGTGGTGACATTTTTTAGAAAACTTAATGTAAAGTACAATGGTTTAGTTGACTATTTCTTTTTTTATTAGTCTGATGCAGGCCATAGATGGGTCGAAAATCGGCCGATTTTTCGGCCGAAAATAAAATCGGCCGATTTTCGGATCGTTAGTGGGCTCTTTGTTCGGCCGTTTTTTCGGTATTTTGGCCGTTTTTTTTTTTTTTTGGTAAAGTTGGAAAAAAATCGGTTGATCGGCCGATTTTCGCGGCAATTAGTGGGCAAATCGGCCGATTTTTTACCGATAAAAAATCTGCGCATGAGCAGTGACCTGCAAGAGGAAGACAAAAAGAAGAAAAGAAGAGGAAGAGAATGAAGAAGAGAATGAAGAAGAGGAAGAAGAAGAGGATGAAGAAGAAGAAGAACAGGATGAGGATGAAGAAGAAGAAAGGATGAGGATGAGGATGAAGAAGAAGAAGAGGATGAGGATGAAGAAGAAGGAGAATAAGAAGAGGATGAGGATGAAGAAGAGGATGAGGATGAAGAAGAAGAAGAAGAGGATGAGGGTGAAGAAGAAGAAGAGGATGAGGATGAAGAAGAGGAAGAAGAAGAGGATGAGGATGAAGAAGAAGAAGAATAAGAAGAGGGTGAGGATGAAGAAGAAGAAGAAGAAGAGGGATGAGGATGAAGAAGAAGAAGAGGATGAGGATGAAGAAGAAGAAGAAGAAGAAGAGGAGGATGAGGATGAAGAAGAGAGAGGATGAGGATGAAGAAGAAGAAGAGGATGAGGATGAAGAAGAATAAGAATAAGAAGAGGATGAGGATGAAGAAGAAGAAGAAGAAGAGGATGAGGAGAAGAAGAAGAGGATGAGGATGATGAAGAAGAAGAGGATGAATGAAGAAGAAGAAGAAGAGGATGAGGATGAAGAAGAAGAAGAAGAAGTAGGATGAAAATAAGAGCAATTCCAGTCCAGCAAAAAGTGTCCCTGCAGAGAGCTCCGCTATTTCTTTGACAGTTCTCTGACAGTTCCTTGACATTTATAGAGGTTGCAACATTGTATCTATTTGTTTCCGAATAAAAACATCTGTATCCTAAATGGAAACAAATAGATACAATGTTGCAACCGCTGTAAATGTCAAGGAACTGTCAGAGAACTGTCAGAAATAGCGGAGCTCTCTGCAAGGACACTTTTGCCGGCTGTAGACGGGATGAAAATCGGCCGATTTTTTTTACCATTGATGGTAACGTCGGCCGCTTGAACGACCGATTTTTCGTTTTTTAAAAGAAAAATCTGCCGTTTTTCGACCCATCTATGGCCTGCATTATACTTCACTCTGTCTAGCTGTGATTTTAATGATGAGCTTATCAATACAACTATGACCGCTATGTGATTTTTTTTTTTTTCTTTTATGGCAGCCAATATACAGCGGAGATTCTGCACCTCCTTTACCTAACCAGATGGGAAAAATGCAGGCTTGTTCCAAGTGTGGTCGTGTGAATTTGGCAGACGCTCGTTTCTGTGACTGGTGTGGGGCGAAGGTAACACCACAACTTACATAAAATAACCAAAGCCCATTTTTGTTTTATAAAGTGAGAACTATGTCAATGTTTTTTCTAGCCAGGGCTCTCTGTGAGTTATCTGACTTGCTCTAAGTGTGGGGCCAGCAATCATCCCTATGCCCACTTCTGTGCAACCTGTGGGGTTTACTTGGAGCCTCCGGGACGATTCTCAGCCCACAACAACAGGATGGTAAACAGTACAAGCCTCATAACACCATCTGCAGTAAGTTCAGCTATATATTTAACTTTTATCCTTTTTTTCTGTTCTGATCTACAATCATTTTTTGTATTTGAATTTTGTTGCTTCCTAACTACCATAATCCCAGAGCTGGATCAGCTCTACTCTGGTTAAATTTGGGTGCTGGGCACCAATGAAGTGTCAGTTACATCCCCTTTAACACAATGCAAAATCCTTGTGTTGCAGTGGGCTGCTACAGTGCTCTTATTATACTCTGTGTAGCAGAATTGAAAGGCCATAAGCTGAATTGGAAGCCAGATGTTTCAGCAATGTCCCCCACCTGGACTGGCCAGGGATACTGAGACATGGTGGCATTTTAAAGTGATGCTGGGACAAATAATTGCCAATGCAGTTCCATTTTAATTTTCACCCTGCAAAACTGATAAAAATGTTTTTTCAAGAGGTAGAGAGTAGACACTGTACCCAATTATTATTCATGGCAAAATGACAGGTTTGCTAGATAGATTAGTTCTTCCTTAGCAGTTACCAACCGTGCCTCTCCACCTAGATGAAGCCCAGAGAAAAAGCCACGTGTAAGCTCCAGTTCAGTCTGGGTTTGAGCTTACATTGGGCATAGGTCTTTCTCAATACCTCCCGTGACAGGGATCAGACTTGGTAACTGGCTGCGCAGTCAGCGAATGCTGCATTGTGGGAGGAAAAGAGAGATTCACATACTCCCCAACACCTAGAAGGACCATATATTCCAAGGGTTTCCTGCAGTTGAACAGGGAAGAGGAGGAGAGCAGGATACTAGTATCAGCAGTTAAGGGGCTTGGATGTCAATGGTCCCTTGCCCTGAGTATACAAAGTGCAGGTTGAGTGGTTAGGCACTCTTGACTTACAGTTGCAAGAAAAAGTATGTGAACCCCTTGGGATTACGTGGAATTTTGCATGAATTGGGCATAAAATATGCTCTGAACGTCATCTAAGTCACAACAATTGAAGAACACAGTCTACTGAACATAATACTACACAAACATTAGATGTTGCCATGGCTTAATTGCACATAACATGTAAACATTCACAGTGCCGGGAGGAAAAAGTATGTGAACCTTTGGACTTAATAACTGGTTGACCCTCCTTTGGCAACAATAACCTCAACCAAACGTTTCCTGTAGTTGCAGATCAGACCTGCACAACGATCTGGAGTAATTTTGGACCACTCCTCTTCACAAAACTGTTTCAGTGTAGCAATATTCTTGGGATGTCTGGTGTGAATCGCTCTCTTAAGGTCATGCCACAGCATTTCAATTGGGTTGAGGTCAGGACTCTGACTGGGCCACTCCAGAACGCGTATTCTCTGCTGTTGCAGCCATTGTTTTGTTGAATTACTTGTTTGCTTTGGGTCATTGTCCTGTTGCATCACCCATCCTCTGCGTATGTTTTCCTGCAAAATGTCTTGATAAACTCTGGAATTCATTTTCCCATCAATGACAACAATCCGTCCAGGCCCTGAGGCAGCAAAGCAGCCCCAAACCATGATGCTCCCTCCGCCATGTTTTACAGTGGGGATGAGGTTTTGATGTTGGTGTGCTGTGCCTTTTTTTCTTCACACATAGTGTTGTGTGTTCTTCCCAAACAATTCAATCTTGGTTTCATCTGTCCACAGTATATTTTGCCAGTAGTGCTGTGGAACATCCAGGTGCTCTTTTGCAAACTTCCAACGTGCTGCAATATTCTTTTTGGACAGCAATGGCTTCCTCCGTGGTGTCCTCCCATGTACTCCATTCTTGTTTAATGTTTTCCTTATTGTAGATGTGTCAACAAAAATGTTAGCATGTGCCAGAGATTTCTGTAGGTCTTTAGCTGACACTCTGGGATTCTTCTTTACCTCATGCAGCATTCTGCGCTGTGCTCTTGCAGTCATTTTTACAGGATGACCACGCCTAGGGAGAGTAGCAACAGTGCTAAACTTTCTCCATTTGTAGACAGTCTGTCTTACCGTGGACACATGAACATCAAGGCTTTTGGAGATACTTTTGTAACCCTTTCCAGCTTCATGCAAATCAACAATTCTTGATCAAAGGTCTTCTGAGAGCTCTTTTCTGCGAGGCATGGTTCACATCAGACAGTGCTTCTTGAAACCAGTAAACCCAAAACAGGTGTGTGTTTTTTAATGCCAGGACTGCTGTCAGCAACACATCCAATCTCATCACACTGATTGGAGTCAAGGTTGCCTCACTCCTGGCTCCAATTAGCTCTGTGAAAAGTCATTAAGCTAGGGCCTCACATACTTTTTCCCCCCCCCTGAACTGTGAATGTTTACATGTTATGTGCAATTAAACCATGGCAACATCTAATGTTTGTGTAGTATTATGTTCAGCAGACTGTGTTCTTCTATTGTTGTGACTTAGATGACGTTCAGAGCACATTTTATGCCCAATTCATGCAAAACTCCACGTAATCCCAAGGGGTTCGCATATTTTTTCTTGCAACTGTACATATACCATTCTGTAAGCTGCAACGCTCTTTTGGCACAAGGGGATTTACTAACGTGTGATGTGCTATTAAAGAAAATAAGATCATATGAAATTCAAACAACCCATCAATTTAAGAAACTCCTTTGCATGTAATTTAATATTTAAAGCAAGTCATGAAGTTTAACTTCACTTTGCTTCCTGTTCTATTAAACCAGGTTTAGGAACACTTCACCCTTAGTAAATCTAACCCATTTTAATTGTGTTGTTACATAATAGGAACCTTGCTCCATTAAATGTCAGAATGTGTAATCTGCTTCCATATCATGAAACCTTTTCCTGTTGATATAAAAAAGGGTTGAATTATATAAAATATGTTAAACGTCCTTCTATTTCAGGATTTAGATGGTCGTGCTTCCTGGCAACCATTATCGGTCTCATTGCCAGACCCTAGACTAGGTACAGAGAAAGTGGACAAAAGGACCCAGACTGTAGGATTGTTTTACCCATCCAGCAGACGTATGGAGAAGAAGGAGAGATGGAGCTGTTATCAGAGAAAGAGAAGAAGGAAAAGATGAGTGATCGCAAACCTCTTCTCACAGCAGTCAGTCCAGGCCAAGGTTAGGCATCTTATGTAACACAGGATGATGGCTTACCATAAACATACAGATCGTGCTGTGGTTAAAACTGAACTCAGAGCACCACATTGTGAGCTATTATATATCAGAAAGTGGAGTCCATTTATAAAGCAGCAAACTGACTAACCACACTGCTAAAAAAAACCTCCAATGGCTCATTTATAAAGCATTTCTTTGTGCTATATAAGTGTGGTTTGCACTTCTTCCTCCTCTTCCTGGCTTATTTATTATCCCATTCAGAAGAATAAATGGGTGTTCAAATGGTTCAGAATCCCCAAGGAAGAGAAGCTTACCTCAGTCTAATAAATGTAATGATGGGCGAAAAAGTTTGCCAGCTGTAGAAAGAAATTTGCTGCATGACCAGAAACAGTTGCGTTTTGCATATAGTTTCACTTATCTTTATCTCTGAATCTAATGATCATTTTGGCATGCAGATTTTAACCAATTAAGGTTTTAGGATGTAATTTTATCTGTAAATGCTAGTTACATCTGTATAGCAGAATCTCTGACAATAGCTCTTTGTCCTTGATTGACCAGTGGTGAAGTACAATACAGTGCCTTGAAAAAGCATTCATACCCCTTGAAATTTTCCACATTTTGTCATGTTACAACCAAAAATGTAAATGTATTTTTATTGGAATTTTATGTGATAGACCAACACAAAGTGGCGCATAATTGTGAAGTGGAAGGAAAATGATAAATGGTCTTCAAAGTTGTTTACAAATAAATATCTGAAAAGTGTGGTGTGCATTTGTATTCAGCCCCCCCGAGTCAATACTTCGTAGAACCACCTTTCGTTGCAATTACAGCTGCAAGTCTTTTTGGTATGTCTCTACTAGCTTTGCACATCTAGAGAGTGAAATTTTTGCCCATTCTTCTTTGCAAAATAGCTCAAGCTCTGTGAGATTGGATGGAGTGTGTCTGTGAACAACAATTTTCAAATATGAATACTCTTTCAAGGCACTGTATACACAATTATATTACAATATTATAAATAATTTTTAGGCCTCATGCATACTGATGTGCATGATTTTAACTCCCCTAGAAGCCAGCAGTGTTTTGGCCAAAAATAAAGTCTGATACTTGTAAAAGTGTGCACTGCGTTTATGCGTGTTTACCCACGTCAAGCGTTTGGGCGTTAATAAAATTCTTTGGCCATAGTAAATAATTTATTCTGGCCATTGAAATAAATAAATGTTCAAGCGCTAAACCCATCTAGCGGTTAGGTGTGGTTTCACGCTTTTAAGCGGGTCATGCAATTTTTCAGCCGCACGACCCCCTGGCGGTGGGTTTTTTTTTTTTCTGCCTATAACTCTCCTGCCACAAAACATTGCTAAAAGCCTATGTGTGCATGGACACATAGGATAACAATAAAAGGAGTTTATAGGCAGTAAAAAAAATTCTTGGTGCCACTAGCAGTAACTTCAAAAATGTCCAGTGTGCATGAGGCCTTACACAGTGAATGCAGAAAACCTGAAAATATTTTTCTAAACAAGTCTTTTTTTTCCTTTTCTCTTACTAATCTTATGCTCTTTCCGATCTCTTACTTCCATACACGTACCCACATCCACCGCCACCCTGGACCCCTCCCCACCCCATTAATTCATGGTAGAAAGAACCACTCAAAAAAAGGCTACAGTTCACATATCATATACTGCATACCCGTGGTAGGCAACCTTAAAGAGGTGGAGTTCTACCTGAACAACATGAGAGAAGTCAAAGATCACCAGGCAGTGTCACCTCCTCACACCTGATTTAAACCTTTAATTGCCGTACTACCGTATCGCAATCACGTGCATTGCACGGCAATTATGGGTGTAGATCAGGTGGTGAGGGGGCAACATATTGCCTCCTCACCACCTGCCAAACACACTCGGAACGCTTTTCAGAGGAACAGCAGTACCTGCTGCACTTGTGAATGAGCCCTTAGTTGCATTTGGCAGCTGCACCTTTAGGGCTCTTCACAGATAAAGTTGGGGGTGATAACACCCTACGGTTTAATCGCGGTTTTACTACCCCAAATCCCTAACCCCTTTTAGCTCCTGAGGCAGCAGTCAGAGGTGTACACGTGAATTAAACCCCCGGTTGTTTTTGGTGGGTGCTACTGCCTGCCGGTCACGAACCATTCAACTAAATGGGGCCAATCTGCAAACACCCCGCAACTACATGCTTCTGCAGGGTCCAGGGGTTAAAGCCTGCTTTAACCCCTTGCTTGGCAGGTGCGCATAACTCCTGCTGCGGCTGTGACATGTACACACCCCTGATCACTACAGCTAAAGGGGTATGGTTGGGGATGGTAAACGCACGTCTTAACTATGGGGGTTTTACCACCCCCAAAAAGTGCAAATGTAAGTGAACTCTTACTGTTCTGAGCCCCCTATAAGGCTGTCTTCACTCTGATGTGCTGCAGTTTACCTGCACCGCGGGTACAGAGCAGTGCATCTGAGACTTTCCTGGGTCAGCTGCGCTTTGACGTACATTTCCATTGTATCCTGCAGGTGTGGTGCACCTTCTAAAAGTGCACAAAAACCTGCAGCATATAATATAAGTCTATGGCTTAGCGCAGAAAACTTGCAGGAAAGCTGCAGGTACAGTGCACTACACCCGCGATGTGTGTAAACCGCAGCCCATCATTGTGAAAAAAGCCCTGTAGTATTATGCCCAGTGTATTGCATCACACTGACCTGAAGATCTCTTCTTTCCTGCTGCTGGCACCACTCTGGAGACTGCTAGCCAGGATAAGAGGTGAAGAGCAGTTGGTATCACTCTGCATGGGACAGGAACCAGCGTTACAGAGGAGACATCGGCTCTTGCTCCCTACTACAGCTCCAACTTTACATGTAGTCCCTCTGTATTGCACTCGTTTGATGCTCTGGGATGGCAGTCAGCAAGTCCAGACCATGATATACCCGTCACTTGGCCGCAATCTACTGGTAGATTGCAATCTACTGGTTGCTGACCCCCACTGTATACCATCGATGTGGCTTAAATCAATGTCCACTATTTCTGCATACTTGGTAGGACAATTATCAAATCATCTTTGCCAAACCCTTGTCAATTTCTTAGTAATGTATGAACGTTTTCCATATTTGTAACATTGCATTCTTGGGCAAATTATGTAACCTGTAGATAATTATAACTAGATAATTAAAAAAAAGTGTTTCCTAATAAACCTCTGATCAAGACTGTACTGTATGGCTGATATAAAAACTCTGTTTATTGCTGTTATGATTTACCTAAAAAAAACTAATAATTATATTTTTAAATTAAACTATTGTTAAGTACCGTACTTCTAAGTCTAGCTTGGTCCAGCCTCTTTGGTCCCCTGTACAGCAACATTCATACTGACAGATTCTGTCAGAATGAAAGAGCAGAGTGATGATCTGCTGCTGCTGCTCTTTCACTGACTAGTCAGAGGGTGGAAGCAAGTTGTATCACTAAAGTGCAGTAGAGAAAAACTGTGGAGAGTATTTACTAAAACTGGAGCATGCAAAATCTAGTGCAGCTTTGCAGAGAAACCAATCAGCTTCCAGGTTTTATTGCCAAAGCTTAACTGAACAAGCTGAAGTTAGAAGCTGATTGGCTACCATGCACAGCTGCACCAGATTATGAATGCTCCAGTTTTAGTAAATCAACCCTAATGTCACCAACTTGGTTGTGCTGTAAAACAGCGATGTGCAAATTTCAGTACTGGATACAAAAAAAACATTCTTTGACAGGTAAAATATATAAATGTATATCAAATGTGAATATAGCTGTTTGTCTGGAGTTCTACTTTAACCACTTTTTATGCCTAACTATACCTAATTAACTTCTTCATTTGCCATCTTTTGCCTTTTTATTTTCCCTGATTTACTTATGATTGTTTTATGCATCTATAGTAACTTTAGTTTTATAATTGGTACTGGTACTAATAATAACTGGGGTTTATTTTCTAAAGCTGGAGAGTGCAAAATCTGTATAAAAAATCCAATCAGTTTCTAACCTCAGCTTGTTCAATTAGGCTTTGGCAATAAAACCTGGAAACTGATTGGTTTCCATGCAGAAGTGAGCCTGATTTTGCACTCTCCAGCTTTAGTAAATAAACCCACAGTGTGTGTGTATGTATGTATGTATATATATATATATATATATATATATATATATATAGATATAGAGATAAGAAGTAAATTTGTTTAATGTAGCCTGTGGACACATCTGATAGTGTGATATGTTTCTGATTATTTACCCATATGATTTTATTCCTTTAGACTATTGGAGGCAGCAGTTGGATCATATTTGTGCTCATTTGCGCTGCTACACACAGAATAACACTGAATTTAAGGAATTGATTGGTAAACCTCGGATGGGAAGAGTAAGTATGATGCTTAGCTGGAATGCAGCTTGGTGGTTTGAAAACTGCATATCACAGCAAATAAATATACAAAAGGAGGATAACAAATTTTTAATAATTTAATTTTATTGCTATTTAAAGAGATGTCACGTTGCCCATATAGAGCAAAGTGACAGTGTATCTGCCAAGGGCATCTCCTGACCACTTTATACTCATCGTACCTGCGCTCCTTCACTTGTGTTCTTCTTTTTACTCCCTGGTAGTCAATTGTGAGTTGGCCTAGAGAGCATGCACATCTAAAGTAATGACTTCTTTAAAGTGATTGTAAAGGTTCAGATTTTTTTTTTAAATAAATGTGTCATACTTACCTGTTCTGTGCAATGATATTGCACAGAGCAGCCCCGATCCTCCTCTTCTCATGTCCCCTACAGGCGCTCCTGGCCCCTCCCCCCTACTGAGTTCCTGTGCATGCTCGCTCCCAAGCCCCTCTCCCACTCCCTCCTCACTGGTTGTATTTGACAGCCAATGGCTCCCGCTGCTGTGTTTCAGCCAATGGGGAGACAGAGACCTGGGGGGGAGCTGCACACTGAAGGTTTTTTACCTTCATGCATAGAATACATAAAGGGAAAATGCCTTCAGCCTTTAGAACCATTTTAATTTAATTCCGTGTTTAATCCCTGTGTCTGCAGGCCACATTATCAAAAATTATCGAGTTTAAACTGTCCCAAACTTTCAAAACAGGAGTGAGGGGTACACTTATATCTGAAAATGTGCTTGATTTGTCTTGATACCTTGAAAGGAGCGATAGCATACTTTTTCCCTAAAGTCGAACTAAACCCTCCTATTCTTTACAGCCAAGGAAGCTGCCATCTCAGGTTCTGTTTGACCTGCAGTTGCCATGATGCTGACATGTGATCAGCTATGACACTAGTTATTTGATGCCTTGATAGTCCAGTGGGGGATTAAAGAAGTACAGCTAAAGCTTTTCTGGCTGTATTTCTCTTATGGATCACAGGAGTTCAGTTTGATATGCACTCCTGTGACTTGTTTTCAGATGACAGTCACCACTCTCTGCTCACAGTGGCAGTGAGAACTCAGCGATCAGCGGTCATGTGATCGCTGAGTTTTCACCCTTAGAGCCGGCGGGACACAGATGCAGCATTGGACCAATGCTGCATCCACTTAGGTAAGTATGATTTTAAAAAATCCCAAAAAAACACATTTTCCCATACTTCTCTTTTAACATATGCACACTAGTAACTGTAAAGCTGGCCATAGATAGGTAGTTCTTTATTGTTCAGCAAGAGGGCTGAGCAAAAAAAAAAAAAACCTCAATCCACACAAGCGAGGTGGATATAGGAATCCCCCTTGCTGGGATTTTGTATTTGGGCAGCTATCAGAATACACTGATCAATGGCTGCATATGATGTTTTCTAGCATGTCTCTTCGACAGAAGTCAAACAATCAACTTCTGTTGAGCAGGTACAGCCACACACTGATCCCTGCTGAAGTGGCCACATTTTGATCCATCTATGACCAGCTTTATCATTCAAGGCATGTCTTGAATGTACAGTAACTGTTTTGGGAAATCAGTGGGTTTATTTCGGCTTTAACAGGGATCCAAGGAAAAGGTTCTGTTCCATTTATGGCCACTAAGTGATGCATAGACCTGGGTTTCTTACATAATTACAGCAGAGCCTGTAGCCTCCCTGGCGGTATTCCCGAGTGTAGCTCGGGGTAAAGTTTCAGTACCAAAAGCAGTAACCCCGAGCTACACTCGGGCTTACCATGCGGCGCTGCTCTGGGATCTCTTCTTCTCTTACCTTGTCCTGCGCTCCCGCGATGTTCCTCCTGCAGTGTCCCCTGTAATGTCCTCCTGCGGATGCCGGCATTTGTCTTCTGGGTTCCATACCCTGCGACGTCGGGACGTACGGGGACGGAACGGCGGGAAATTTGAAAATGACAAAAAGTGACATTCACTAAAATCACTAAAATCACATAGTAAAACATTACTGTATCAAACCATTTCACATACATTTTGTCCCGAGTGCTTTGTCCTGTGCCCTGCCTGCATTTTTACTGTTCTTTCTGCCTGGAAACTGAGAAACGTCCATGGCGTCCAAAAAGCGTCCCTTTAGGTCAAAATCAGTTTTAGACCAGCTAGAGAACAGCGATAGTAAATTAGAACTACTTGCAGAATTGAGTGATAATGATTTGTGGGGAAATTCGTCATCAGACACTGAAAACGATTTTGCGACTTTGCTCAGTGATGTGCGAACCTGGCGCTATATTTCAAATTTCAGTGTTTTTGGTTTGATTATGTTATTGAATTAAATTTATTATTATTATATTATTATTATTTTTTATGATTATTTATTAAATTATAATTTATGATTTTGTGTTTCAAATTTTAACATACCCGAGATGTTTGCTAGACTCTTGTTCGGTCAGATTTCAGTGAGTTATTCCTACAAATTACAGGCCTACATTAAAAAAAACTACATATTTCCATGCAAAAAAATGTACCGCTTTGAGCACAGAAATATGGACATAATCAGACTGCTATGGAGGTTAATACAGTAGACTCAATGTACCAGTATATAAGGACGTATATATACAAGATAGACCATTGGATCTCAGATCTGTGTTATGCATTAGGCGATTACTCCAGTTGTAGTTCCTGACTGGTTTCATAAATGTTACGTTCTCTGGTTTCCTTCACATATTACAGTTCAGTTTGTTTCTTTCACTAATTATAATTCCAATTATACATTTTCATGATACAGTTCTTCCTTTTATACCTAGCTGTATTTATGTACTTAGTAGGTGATGGTGGCACTGTTTATGAACATTTTTCTACAAGTTCTGTGTATGAATTTATCACATACATCACTCAGCAAATTTTAATTTAACACTCTAATCACTAGTGTTATTTTCTGTATTCGTGTGGATTTGTGTATATCTGTAGGTTTTTGGCATTCAATGATGGTCAGCTGAGTAAATATTCTTTTTTAGTGATTTGTGATTGTAGGAAGAAGTTATTTGTTATTTTATTTGATATGAATTAAAATTTATGGTATTTTACCTCTTGAAATCACATTAACACTTATTTCCTTCACAGAAAGGGGGTTTTTCTTCTGAAATTGCATTGGAGATATGTGGTTTCACTAGTTTAGATGGAAAAATACTTAGTAGTGTTCTTTAAAGTGGTTGTGAAGGCTCAAGGTTTTTTTACCTTCATGCATTCTGTGTATGAAAGTAAAAAAAAAAAAACCTTCTCTGTGCAGCACCCCCAGCCCCCTCTAATACTTACCTGAGCCCAATCCTGGTCCAGCTATGTGCATGAGAGCCTCGGCTCTCCAGGGACTCTCCCTCCTCATTGGCTCATTGTCAATCACAACCAATGAGCCAGTTTGGAGTGAGAGAGGGGGTGGGGCTGAGCCGCACTATGTGTTTGAATGGACATGCAGAGCAGCGGCTCGGGAGTGAGGCTGCTTGGGTGCTCCCCATAGCAAGCTGTTTGCTCTGAGGGCAAGCGGCAGGAGGGAGGAGCCAGCAGCCCCGGCATAGGACCTGAGAAGAGGAATATCGGGGCTGCTCTGTGCAAAAACAATGCACAGTGCAGGTAAATATGACATAATTATCATCATTATTTTGTCCCCTGCCGGCTCTAAGGGTGAGAACTCAGTGCTAAAATGACTGCTGATTTCTGAGTTCTCACAGCTCTCACAGTAGGACTGTCAGTCACTGCTGTCTGCTCAGTTCCCCCCCAGTGCTCACTGGAGCACTGGGCTGTGCAGTTAGGGAGCTGATGGCTCAGGCTCTCAGCTCTTCGCTGAGAGGCTGAGCTAGGTGCCGCTCCAGACTCTGGGATGGACCCAGACCTTGATGTCAGGATCTTTCCCCAGCCTGGACTGGCTGAGTGACGTCAGCCGACAGCACACTTCAATCCGCTGTCAGCTGAAATGGGTCACAGGAGTGCAGGATGAACTGCACCCCTGTGATCTACCGGAGAATTACAGTCAAAAAAGCTTTGGCTGTACTTCTCCTTTAATGTATAGCTGGCCATCGATGGATTGTTTTTTTTTTTTTTGGGGGGGGTTTTTGGGGGGGGGGGGTGTTTATACAAAATCAAGATGGATAGAATGCTTCCCGCTGAGACATTATATTCTGATAGGAGGGGTCAAGAAAAATTTTCCAATAGGTCCATTCAACAAATTTGACTATTAGATCGACTTCAGTTGAGTGGGAGCAGCCACACATGCATCGAAATTCAGGCGGTCCTCGCTAAACTGGACAAATTTCAATCCATCTATGACCAGTTTAAGCCCTTGCTGGGGAAAGCAGCAGGATCAGTTTAATGCCATTCTCCCCAGCAGCCTATACTTACCTTTCCTTTGTTCCCAACCAATTCTGTCCAGCCACCAGGAGCAAGAAAAGGAACCCCTGTTTAAGTCTCACCAATTAGAGCTTGAACACAGCTGACTGTTCCCCCCTGCCCCCCATGGAAGTACAGGGCCAGTCACCAAGCACCACCATTGTTACATGTATTCTGCCTTCTTTTCTATTCCAGATTATATCAGCCACAATGCATGAAGATGGATATGAAGTCAGTCTGAGGTTAAACTATGTCCTAGTTACAGACAAGGTCAGTATCATTCATATAGTACTGCCTTCACTAAATGGCAGACTGCGGTTAGGATCCAGACCAACTGACAGCTCAGTCCACCTGTCAGTAGGCAAGGGTTAAGAGATGGGTATCGAAGGGAAGGGGTTTGAGGCAGAACCAGTGGGCTCTGAGAAAGAGGTTGTTAGCGATCCTGTCGCCGTGCAGCGGTGCGACGGCAACAGATCCCCTTGGGTCGCAGTGGTGCGAGTGCACAGGCACGGGAGTGTGCGGCCGCGCATGCACATTAGCGTGGAAGACTCGCGCATGCACAGTAAGCACACACGTCACGTCAGGCGGGCTATTTAAACCTGCTTAGTAGTAAAATCACTGCCTTCTGGTCTACTACAGTCCTGCATACATTCCTGATACCTGTATTCTGCATTACCCGCCTAAGAAAGAACTCCGCCTGCACTGACCCCGGCTATCCCTGACCATTCTCTTGCCTGCTCCTTCTGTACTTATCTACCTGCTGGATACTGACCCGGCTTGCCTGACTCTGCTATATTATTCTGCACCTGACCTGCATCTTGTCGGCTGCCATATTTACCTACTGCTACACCCACGGCTCTGCATCTGGCCTTCATCCGGATTACCGCCATACCTGTCGGCCACCGCATTCACGCACTGGTGCTCGTCCCAAGACCCGCATCCTGACTGTCGCCTCACCTGCTCGCTGCTGCACCTACGTATATGCACCCGTACCTGGCTTGTGTCCGGATCTCCTGGGTCCCAGCTACCTGCCGACAGCTTCAAGATCTACACGGCACTCCTGCCCCTCCTGGCTCTGCGCTCCTGTTCCCACTTTCAGGGGCTCCGGGCGGGAGTTGTAAGAGGACACCCTCTCTCCACTTCAGGCTCCCCAACCAGGTACGTGACAGAGGTTCTGCCTCGAAACGCGTCACCAATTTGGAGGCCTACAGTCCCCCAACAGCCACAATCTAGGGAGATTGGACCATGCAGTCTTTTTTGTGATGTGCCTTTGATTTTACTTTTTTTTCTCAGTATACTACTTTTTATTCAATAAATCTCATTTTTAGAAGGTAATGCACTAGGCTATGCGCCCTCTGTTTGTTTCTTTGTAGAGCTACTGCGTAAGGGGAGAGAAAGAACATGTGAAGGGCTTTGATTCAATGTATTATTTATATTTACTGTATTAGTATACAATATGTAAACCTTCAACATTAGCTATGTTCATTTTCTAGAATGTTGTGACTGGAAAGCCAATAAATCTGTCCAGCAATCACTTCCTGAGCAAGGTGACAGAAGGCAGAGATGATATGGATGAGACACAATCCAGTGTGGGTAAGTTTTGCATCTATACCTACATTTGAGCTTGTATTTCCTACACATTGAAAACTTGGGGGGTTATTTACTAAACCAGCATAGTGCAAAATCTGGTGCAGCTATGCACAGAAATTAACCAGCTTTCAGATTTTATTGTCAAAAAAGGCTAACAGTTTCATATGGGTACAGTGTTGCATGACTGAGTAATTGTCACTCAAAGTGTGATAGTGCTGAAAGATGAAAATTGGCCTGGACTGGAGGGGGTGAAAGTGTCCGACTTGAAGTGGTTAATTGAACAAGCTGAAGTTAGAAGCTGATTGGCTACTATTGCACAGCTGCACCAGATTTGAGTGCACTCCCCCATAAGGCCTTGTTCTTCTTCCCTGCATATCAGTAGATCCTTGTAAATTGATGGGTTGTGTTCATAGGAACAGAGGTTCAATGTATGACTAGGAGTGAGGTTAAAAACGAAATCAGAACACCTGGTATGCATATTATTATACAGGATTTATATAGCGCCAACAGTTTGCGCAGCGCTTTACAATATAAGGGAGACAGTACAATTACAATACATTTCAGTACAGAAGGAATAGGAGGGCCCTGCTCATGGGGCTTACAATCTAAAGGAAGGGGGAGGTGATACAAAAGGTGATAGCTGCGGGGGGATGATCTGGCGGAGGTGATTCAAGTACAGTTCTTAGGTGGAGGTGGGGTAGGCTTCCCTACCCCATTTGTTTTGGGTCAATGGACACAATTCACTAAGCGGTATCTTACTGCATCCGAGTATGTGGTAGGATACCGCATAGCATTTTTTAAAAAAAAGTTTGAATTCACTAAAAAATGCTACTAAAATACTGCATGAGTTATTTTATCAAGTCATGTGATATTTTAGTAGTGAAAACCATGCGTCAATGTTTAAGATGTCAGCGGGGTTCCCCACTGACAGCTGAATGTAAAAGAAAGAATTGCCGGCAATTAAAAAAATAATTAAAAAGCCGGTGTGGGGTCCCCTCTCCATCCATACCAAGCCCTTCGGGTCTGGTATGGATTTTGAGGGGAACCCCCACACCAAAATTATTTTAAAAATGGCGTGGGGCCCCCCCCAAAATCCATACCAGACCCTTATTCGAGCATGCAGCCAGCTCAGGACGAGCTAGTGCCCCTCCCCCCTCCTGAACCACACCAGGCCAAATGCCCTCAACATGGGAGGGGGTGCTTTGGGGCTGGAGGGAATTCTTTCTTGCAATTGTTGAGTCAACTAATTTAGTTTGAAAGCCCCTAAAATTGCATCCCTGTCTGCTATTTAAACATAATCCCATACATTAAAAGGCTTCACTACAATATTCATGTTTTTTCCTGAACAAAAAGCACATTCACAGTTAGAATTTTGTTCACTTGAGAAAAATTTTCTATCCTGTTTCTTCAAATTTTTTTGTCACTACAGTCAAAAATAAGCATCCATTTGACCCCACTAACCATTAGAAAATCAAAAGAGCATTTTGAAAATGAAAACATTTGTATGAAATCCTACTAGTGTATAGCCAGTTTAAGAAAAAAGTTTTACTTCTATTAGATGGCTTAGCTTTTCAGCGTCTACAATCAACTAACAGGTTTGGGTTGTCTGACCTGTCAGCTGAGCATACATTATATAGGGTGTGCCCAAAGTTGCCATAAATAGGGAAAATGGGAAAGTGTAGCTAAATATACCTTTTTTTATAAAATATTTATATCTAAAAATATATTAATATAAAAAATATAATGTAAAATATAATATGAGTTTGTAAATTTTTCTTATGTATGGTGACTTTTGGGAGACCCTGTATATTAGCTCCCATAGTGCAGCTTGCTATGGGGGCACCCAAGCAGGCTCGCTCCAAAGCCGCTGCTCTGCATGTCCATTCACACACTCAGCCCCACCCATTGGCTCTCCTCATTGGCTCACTGGCTATGATTGATAGCAGTCTCAGCCAATGAGGACGGAGAGTCCCCAGAGAACCAAGGCTCTCCTGCACATCGCTGGATTGCAATGGGGCTTAGGTAGGTATTATGAGGGGCTGCTGCACACAAATGGTTTACTACCTTCATGCATAGAATGCATATAAGTAAAAAACCTTTAGCCTTTGCAACCACTTTAAGCTAGCCATGCATCGGTCAGTGCTTTTTTTTGTTTTCGTTAAGCCAATGGGTTGAACAAAAGAACTGAACCTATTTCCTTCATCCACACATTCGAGGTGGATGGGGGAATCCTCCCTGCTGTGCTATTGTATTCTGACAGCAAGGAGACTACCCATTGGCTGCAGCCGCTGATCAAGTGGCTTTTATCCAACAGGATGGTTGAACAGAAGTTGATCGTTAGATAGATTTACTTCTGTCCATCTGCAGTGGCCACACATGGATCGAAATTCAGATGAAATTCAGATGAATTCATCTATGGCCACCTTGAGAATCGCACCACTGGATGTAAATAGACACTGTAAGATGTGATGGGTTAGGTTAGAGCAAATGAGCAAAAAAGGATTTGTCCTAATGCTCACATATTCTATAAAGGCCCCTTTCACACGAGGGGCCGATCAGGTTCTCCTGTCTTTTTTTCAGGCAGAACTGATCAGACCCTCCGTTCACCTCTATGGACCAGCAGACTTGTGTTCGTTTACACCTGTTTACCTCCAATCCAATTCAGTCCCCTAAAAGAAATGGAAGGGGATCAAACAGTGGAGTCCATTTACTCCTGGCCAGCCATAGAGCAGAGTGGGCTTTGTCCATATGTGCTCTGCATAAACTGAGTGGACACGGACCTGTCATTCACCTGCTCTGCTCTGATCAGCAGAGGATCAATGGACAGATCCCTTGTTGAGCAGATCAGAGTCTGCCCTGTCTGAAAGTGGCCAAAAGAAGTTAAAACAAACCCTTGTTCATCTCTGTAGCTATAATCATTGTAGAGAAATCAATTCTCAAAATTCAGAAGAGGCACAGAAATCACAATTTTTTTAAAGCCTATATTAAAAGGCTTTGTGCATGATACATTTTTTAATGTAAGAAACTGAGTTGAATGTGAGTTCATCTGGCCAAATCAAGCATCCCAAAAGTAACCCAGAAAAATGTAAATGCTCACTTCTTTGCTAGTTCATTATAAGAAGACTACTGATAATGTACAGAGTTTGGTGTTTATTGGTATACAGCAGTAAGTTCAATGGAAAAATAACGCACATTAGATAATACTGTGCATGTATAATCCAGAACATTCCTATGAACAAATAGTATTTGGATAACCTTTTTAAACTTAATCCACTGTTTTGGCATTCCTCTTTATATAATTCTTATTTACCCCTGCAGCAAGCGAGGATGGGCTGACTGCCAGAAGCAACAACTCAAAAAACAAACGATCAAAGAGGAAGAATAGGAAGACTCTACAGAAAGAAGATCGACTTCCTGTATGTATCTAATATCACAGCTAATATGCAGTGTATTGCACATTATTTTGCCAAAGGCGTAGGCCCTGATATCAGCATGGACTGGTAGTACAATTTGCTTTTTTGCCCTGATAAGTATTAGACGAAGAACACATCAGATATATTTTTTCATGTTAAGTGCAGGTATGTTGTGTAAACGTAGTACTTACTGATCACAGTACTCCCCCTCAATCCATATTTCTCTCCAGAAGGATGGAACCTTCATTGTTCAGGCATCATGCAGGAACAGCATCTACTTTCTGGACTGAGATGCTGGACCAGAGATGGCACTTTCATGTAAATGTATGTCCTTGTGCAGTGTTCACAAATGTCTGACACAGATTACCCCAACCCCATATTGTGACTTGCTACAGAGTCACAATATTGTTGTTTAACCAGTTGCCGCCAGCCTATAATAAAATGTTGGCCGGGTGAACACTTCGTCCCTCCGGGAGAGCGTCATGTGATATCCTTCCCGGATCACGCATGCCCGCAGGGCCGCGCTGTGGCGAGATCTGTCATGTGTACCTCGGACACGGCCAATTACATATCTGTGTACCGGCCCCGTTGCCAGTACCATGTGACCTGCTGTGACCAATCACAGCAGGTCACATAAGTTGTATACAAGGGATGGCTTCCTTTCATGCCATCCATTGTATACAATTGTGTCTAGCTGTGAATGGTCACAGCGATCTCTTGCACAGGCTGGACCAATCACAGCCCATCTGTGTCATGTGATTAGCCGTAGCCAATCACAGCTAATCACAACAAAAAAAAACGTAATGAATCGATTTCATTCAGTTAAATGCTTGCATATAGCAAAGAAATTATTTGCTATAAGCAATCAAATTGTGTAAATAAAAAATAAAAATACTGTTCACTTCCCAAAAGTAGTACAATGTTACTGTTATGGTAACATTATACTACTTTGGTCATAGAGTAATATGAAACAAAATCTTAAAAAAAGAGAAAAAAATTAATAAAAATTAAAATACTGAAAAAAATTATCAATTTTTTTTTTTTTCGTACTGTCACCAGTCAGTGTCCCTGATCACTGCCACACCAGTTATATGATGATGTTGTACTGCACTGGTGACAGTATGTAAAAAAAAATACAACTTAAAAAAACTCACCATGCCTCTTATGAAGTACGTCGGACTGTCTACTTTGCAAAAAGGGGCCATTTTGGGGATATCTGTACTGTTCTGACATTTTTGGGCCTCAAGAAATTATCATTCAAAGTGTGCGAGCGCTGAAACCTGAGAATTGGCCTGGGCAGGAGGGGGTATAAGTGCTCTGTATAGAAGTGGTTAAGATGAAGGGGCAGATGGGGGAAATTCTTTCTTCTGTCTACAACCGGCTGTATGTCCTAAATCCCTTTCCTTTTGAAACAGTGCCCACATGTACAAGTGCTGGGGCCTGCTCTTAGTTTGACAGAGGAGGTCCTAGTCTGTCTATCAGACCTGCCATTCCAGTGCTGAAGGCAGAAACAGTTCACCTATAGTAACATGTTACGTTCCCCCATATTCAGGATGTAACCAGGGGCGGACTGACCGTTTGAAAACTCGGGCACTGCCCGAGGGCCCGGGGTCAGTAGGGAGCCCCATGAAATGCCCATGGTACCTTTCATAGGCTTTTTTGAGTTTGGGTAAGGACACAGGGGCCCCATGATCCCCTATTGCCCGGGGGCCCCATGAGTTGTCAGTCCGCCCCTGGATGTAACATGTAACATATTAATACCCCTGATCTCACTACCCCCTGATCCCTGCAGCCATTGTCACAATTTCAAAACAGCACCACGGCGTGGGGCTCTGCTCGCTCAGACGTGTCATTCATTCACAAAGTTCTGTGAAAGAGTGAGCTACAAGTCCCATCTTCCACTGCAGCAGACAGCTTGTAGTTCTCAATGAACTGCGAGGATGCTGGTAAGACAGCTGTCTGCCCTTATGGGAGGTACAGGCAGACAGCTGTACTGAGAGTCTGCAGGAGCCTAACTTTACACCCGCAATTTGCTGATCATGGGTGCAATGCTCTGCAGACTACTGAAAAAAAAAAATTCACATTGTATTACCTGCAAAAAAACATGCATTTATTATTTATTTTAAAAAGTGAACTTATCCTTTAAATATAAACAAATATTGATACAAAGTACCTGGATGTGGCTCTCTGAGCAACTAATCACAGTGTATCTGTTGTTTTTCAACACAGGAATTGCTTAAGAGCTGGTCATACCGGTGCGATTTGCAAATCGAAATCGCACCTGAAATCGCTTCTAATGAATTTGAATGTCAGTATCTTAACGTGTGATTTGCTGCAGTGCAATTTCTAAAGTAGTTCTCGCATTACTTTTTATGCAGTTTTGTTGCGATTTTGCATACATAGAATATAATTGGAAATCACTGCAAATTGCAAGAAATCGTTGAAAATCTTCACAAGTAGCAATAAAGTCTTCAGAAATCGCACCTGAAATTGCACACAAATGGCACGATTTTAAATAGGAGTGGTGTGATCGGTGACTAAGATCGGCACCTGTTGTTTCTGAACAGAGCAGTTGCTTAAGAGCCCGGTCATACCGGTGCAATTTCAGATGCGATTTGCGAATCAAAATTGCAGCTGAAATCATATCTAATGAATGTGAATGTCAATGCCTTAATGTGTGATTTGCTGCAGTGCGATTTCTAAAGTAGTTCTTGCATTACTTTTTATGCAGTTTGTCTAAAACAAAGGGTAAAAAATTATAATATTGCAGCTTACCAGTTCTGTGATGTGGTTGGCGCATTAGTTTTCATTTTCACACTTTTCCTATCCTAGCATGACAACAGTATTGAGCAGCATTGTCACCTTGGGATAGGGAGTGTGTTAGGAATACATAACACTGTGTTAGGACTAGATAATACCTCCTTCTCTTCTCCATAACAGGGAAAGGAGTTTTGTAGTCTACGGAGATAGCAGGGAACAATGCTAACTGATAACAGTCTAGAGGCAGAAAGCATATGAAGTTATTGGCTCACATGATTTCTGGCCAAATGAGCAGCTACTTGTTTTTTTTTTGCACCCAGTTCCAGATCCTTCAATTACAATTTATTGACAATCGGTCATGACAAAACTGCTAGTGCATTTCAGCTGGTGAGGCTGTAATTTTTTTTTTTTGCACTTGGTCAAACAGCTATAATAAAACACTTTCAATTGTGTATTTAACAGAACAAGGGACAAATTTAGTTGGACATAACAGTACATTTTAAGAATACTTAAAGTAGAACTAAAGGCAAAAGTATTTTTTCTTTCATTTTGGGTAGAGGGGATGGTCATAACCCCTGTCAAATTTTTTTTTTCGCCACCTGTGTCCCATTGCAGACATCCCCCTTCACTTATTGTCCCATAGCCAAACAGGAAGTGAGGGGAAATCCCTGAAAATTAAGGGAATTCTTTGGGGACCCCCAGGTTGTCAGAACTAGTGTCCCCATTGGAAAATTTCCGCAGTATTCCTGTTCTGGGGACAACACAAAATTTGGGATTTTCTTTTACTTTCACTTTCAATGATAATGGTAAACAGGACAAATAAAGAGGGTGAATCATCTTAATGGGGGACACAGACAGCAATAAAACTGACAGGTGTTCTAATCCCTCTCCACTCTGTCCAAAACTAAAAAAAAAAAAAAAAAAGTTTGCCTTTAGTTATACTTTAACCACTTGCTCTCCACGGCAAAAAAACAGCATTTTATGATAGAAAATGGCTTGGAACCCTCAATCATTATATATTTTCTGAAAGAAGAGACCCTGGAGAATAAAAAGAGTTAGGGTTCATGTACACTGCAGCTGATAAACTCATGTTTAGGAGCTTTTCTGCGTTTTTTTCAGCAGCCCCTGAACTCTCCCTTATGTTTTCCTATGTGTCCATGTACACTATGTTGTTTACAGTCGTTTACAGGCAGTTGAATTTACAGTTGTTTTTTTTTAACGCACCAAACTTGCGTTCAGGAGTAGATTTTATCAGCGTTTCAAACGCCAAACGCTTGTAAACGCAGCTAACCGTGTTTATGTGCGTTTGCGTTTAGAAGCGTTTTTCCATATCCAGATGCTGTCCAGAGCCTTTTTTCATCATCAGAAATGCATGCAAAGCATTTTCCATGTATTCAAATGGACCCGGTACACCAGTGCAGTCAGTTCTAGGTTTTGCGTGAAGGAAAAAATGGTAGAACGTGCCGCATTATGCTCATGATGGGGGATCCATAGTGAATACAACCAGGAAAGACAGGTCAACACATACTGCTTTCTCTGCTTCTGCTCTCTCTATTCCTCTCAAAATGTCTGAAATAGTTAATTTTTTACTGTTTTTCAGTGCATTCTGGGCATTTTGGAAGGTCTCCTGAGGTTATCTTTAAAAACGCTTCTAAACGCAAACACACATAAACGCACATAAACGCAGTATGCAAATGTGGCTAAACAGGTGTTTTTTAACCTACGTTTTCAAGCAGTCAGTTTCCATTGTTCAGAAGTGTTTTCCAAATGTCCCGTGTACATGGAGCCTAAATAGTTACCAAATATGTTGAGACCCAAAATTGTGTGCACCCGAATATAGCAACAAACTATAGTTTTTTTTTTCATAGGTGATGCTTTAAAAGCCTTAACAGGTTATCAGTGTAGAGTTAAAGGATTTGCTTTTTTCTGTTCAGTGATTTTTATTGTTTTCACAAGGTAACACACTACAGTCCAGGACGAGATACGTAGTGCATTAGCTAGGCACACAGGCCAGTGGTATAGTAAAGGTTAAAAAGTAGCAGATGTAGGGAAGATAATACAGGCAAGTTTGACCAGTATATGGCTTCAGGGCCTGAGCTCAATGGTGACTGGTGTGCTGTTAACAAATGAAAGAGAAAAGGGACAGAGTAAAGAGAGAGAAAAAAGGAAGAAAGATAAGAAAAGAGCTGGAGAGGATCAGGAGGTGGGGGAAGAGCATCACAGATTAGATGGTGCATCCATGA